AGGGAAGAGTTTGTTGTTCCTTCCACAATAATATTTTCGACTATGAGAGTATAAAGCAAACTTTACAATATCACCAAATTTCCCGCAGTCACACTCGGGTTACGCAGGTCACTGAGTGGAGTAATCGTTTGAGGTGATGTCGACTACTCCCGAAGATGTGTTGGAACCATTATCAACTGCAACTCGTGTCATTTGACTGTCATCTACACACGGAACCGAAACAAGAGGCCCATATACCGGTGCGGTGGGTAGAGAAGGCAGCGTGTTGGGTACCACTTGACATCGGCCCCCTGGTCCGGCTAGCTAACAAGCCGGCACGGATAAGCAGCAAATCACAGTAGATCGAATTCTTGAACTCAACTAGGAAAGGTCTTACAAAACCATTTTGTGCAATGTACTCGCGTTCTGCCAACTGCCTACTCGTTGGATGCGCTTGAGACCAAAATATGACGGTATCCCGACGTTACGAAGAATATCCTGCACCCGCCATCTAGCCAACTAACGTCGAGCTTTCGCTTCGTTTATAAATGGTTCTTCTTAATTATAGATAAGGAGATCCCGTTACCCGCTCATCGCAATTTTCGTATTACGAATGCAACGGTCAAGGGAGGAATAAACCTCAGCAATTCTCGATCGTAATTCATTATGAGTAAACTCTGTTCCGGGTTTCGTCGGCATCGTGGCTGTATCGACCACATCTACACTTTGCGTCAATCGATGGAACGATGTCACACATATTGGCGGAGCACCGTTGTCATGTTACTCGACATAAAATATGCCTTCGATTCGGTTGATCGATGTGCGCTTTGGGACTGTTTACTTAGGAAACGTGTGCCCGAGAAATATACAAATATTATCCGAGCATTACACGCACGTAGCACGGGCAGGGTGAGGGCTTACGGCAAGCTGTCGCCGCCCTTCAATATCTACAGCGGTGCGAAACAGACGCCAGTTGTCACTTCCCTCTTCAAGTTCGCTACTGACGAAGTCATGGAAATCGCGTTCACAGGACACGAACTAGAAGTTGTGGATCTGCTCCCAGGCGAACGACTTCTTGACTTGGAGTACGCAGAGCATATTGCCCTCATCTGTGACAGCTCAAACGTGCCAAGCTGCACTGGACAGATTAACACTGGCTGTCAGCCGCTTCGGGTTTTGCTTTGTACCCTCAAAATGCAAAGCTTTCCTGCAAGGTTGGCAGGGATTGCTTCCTGCGCTGACCTTCGGTGTGGATCAGCTAGAAGCCTTTCAGAAATTCAACTACCTGGGAAGTTATATTAGCGCCCGTGGGATCGAAGATGAGATCACGAACCGTATAGCAAAAGCTCGAATAGTTTTTGCTAGTCTTCGCCACCTATGGCGGCGGTGAGACATCACTCTCGCCCTAAAGATTAGAGTGTTCAATGCAGTGGTATGTTCGACCCTACTGCAAGATTGTGAAACCTGGACCCATAGATCAATGGGCATAATGAGGCTAGTTACGTTCGTCCACCGGTGCCTTCGCAATTTAGCTCACGTCTGGTGGGAACACTACATGAGTAACGAGCGTGTTTGACGTCCTGTTTACGGCACAGGAAATGGAACTGAACCGCTCAGCACCGTCATTCCATGCACCAGGCTCGATGGCTCGGCCACGAGTTACGCATGCCAGCTCACCGACTCCTGCGACGTACGTTGATTGCTCGCCGAGGGTGGATGGAAGAAGAGAAGTGGTCAAGCGATGACTTAGCCGGGAGGAATGAAGGCCCACACTTCGGATCTGGCCTTGGTTGGAGCGGGAGCGCTCCCTGGTTGGGGTCCAAAAGAGGATGAACATGTGTGTCTAGATACACTTGCTGACATGGCTAGGAACCGACTACAGTGGAGCCGACCTCAGTGGCGTTCTTGCTGAGTTTCCTTGTTCCTCTACATCCCTTTTAGCTTCCCCTTCCGACCACGATCTCCGTCTGTAGTATAATATAATTTTACACTTTTACATTTACATTTTTCGCCTAGCAGCCGGCTGATAGGTTTCCGGAACGATGCCCATCCGTTGCTGGTAGCTCAGCTGGCATGCAACTGTTGCACTTAGTTGCTGAGGTGTTTTACAGCTCTAGCGAACGTGTATAATGATGATGAATGAGGTCGCCTGGTTTTTAGCATTCTATAATTTTCAGAATCATGCTTTTTTCATTTGTCTTAGCTTTATGTACAGCTGCACGGTTGTAGTGTGCTTTTCATCTGTAGCTTATGTGTAATGATGAGGATGAAACTCTGTTCCCAGATAATTTTTCCGTAGCATCGAGCCTTTGCGTGCAGTTCGTCCAGGAATCCGATGCGGACCCAACCGACGTTCGTGTGCTTCACGAGAGTTAGTAACAGCTAAGCAAACGCAATGGAAGCATATCCACTTCAGGTTAGAGTGGCGAGCATATATATCAATAGTAGATTGACCTAGCTTAAAACAACTATTGTGATAACATAGTAAACACAAGTCGCACTGAATTCATTCCAATTCCATAGTGCCGCAGTTATACTCACAGCACGACGGACAGTGCAACCAGAACTACAGTAAAAAATAAGGCAGATGTTGGAACGAACACACGGATTTATGACTAGGATAGTGGAAGACCAATCCACCGACAGATGAATGAAGGTGAGAATATCCAAAGTGCACCATGACCAACGAACATTACGAGGAATCCGTACGCCAAAGATTCTCGAGGTTCCACTTAATTAAACACTGCTTTGACGAAAGAGGTACAATACTGGAAAAGAGTAAGTTCAAGTTTAAGTTCGGTTAGGAGTGGAACGATAGGAGATTCCCGTGAGTGTTCCACCTTGAGTGGATTGTTAACCCAGGAATTGATAAAGTGTTCAGTTATGGATGGATCTGAAACGGAACACCCGTATGGCACCCTGGCCAACCAGTTAATGCCCATGTTTCCTGCCCTAGCTGTCCCTGGTTGTGACAGTCACATGAAGTAAGCGAAGGATAGGTAGAGAAATCGGCGGTACAAAATAAGTGCAGTTGAAATAAGAAAATACCAATGCGTGAGGAAAAGTAGAGAAAAGAAAATCGAGGCATGAAGATGCGAGTTAGTCAGGAAAAGGGAAAAGTTTCGTGTTGCCACCCAAGAGCGTCAAGTTGCCGCTCAAACCCCTTAACCGTAGATTCCTTAGTAACACTTTCTGGAAGCATGTTCCAGCGCCCGATGACTCTGCGTGACAGCCGGATTTCCGCCCTAATCCGATCGGACCGCGGTTTGTCCGACTTCAAGTACTGACCGCGTAAAACAGACAATTTAGCGGGACTGAAAAGCCAAGATAAAGCAAGACCAACCTTCCCAGTTAAGATACGGTAGGTTAGGATTAGGTCTCCTCTAGGCCTTCGGTAGTGCATTGAATGCAATCTCAAACTAAATAGACGCTCGGGGTACGCCCGTCCCCGTACTATCTCAATTAACCTAGTACACACCCGTAAAATCCTCTCTAGCCCCATCTTGTCCCGGATGAGGCAGGACAAACAAGCCTGGGCACAGTATTTCAGATGAGGCCGAACGAAAGCAGAAAACAGTCTGGTAAAGATGCTGCCCGTCAAGACTCCGAAAGAACGTCGAATTAACCACAACATGCGGAAACTACTGCTTGCGGCCTCCTTCCAGTTGTCGCCGGAGTGTAAAGCCGAAGGAGTATACCATGCCCAGATCAACATGGCTAGATACACGGGAGTTCGACCCCACCGAGTAATTCGCAGTAGGAAAACCTCCAATTCGAAGAACGGAGCACTTTTCCTGATGTATGGACAGTAACCAAAAATTAGACCAGTCCCGAAGCTTATCAAAGGCGCGCTGAATAGCTACGGAACCCGAAGGAACATCGACAATGTTCCATAGCTTAAGGTCATCAGCAAATAACAGTGATGGTACCCCAAGCTCGGTGCGTAGGTCATTCGCATAGAAAGAGAACAGCAGCGGTCCAAGAACCGAGCTCTGAAGCAAGCCACTGAGGACAGACTGCCTAAACGATAGGCCACGGCCTACCCCTACACACGGTTCTCTACCATCCAAGAAGGTAGTCACCCAATGACGGGAACGGCCAGATACCCCGTAGGTAAGCATTGCGCAAGCCTCAAATGGGGTGCCTTGTCAAATGCCTTCGAAAAGCACGCCCAGTGTGTGGCCGTTATCCACTGCATCCGCCCAAATTTCGCGAGCCACCAGCAAATTCGTCAGACACGAAAATCTCTTCCGGAATCCGTGTTGTACATTGCTAAGTAGATTAAATGTACTCAGATGACTCTCTAATGAATCTCACACCAGTTTCTCCAGGAGTTTGACTACTATATTAGTCAGACTAACTGGCCAGTAATTTCTACGCACACTCCTATCCCGTTTTGAAGATGGGAAAGATGACGGCTTCCTGCCATTCGGAAGGTAATGCACAGCTCTCAAGCGATTCCGGAAACACGATAGTGAGTGGTCCACTTAGTTCCGCAGCCAAGTCATGCAACGATTCTGGGTGAATTAAGTCAGGCCCATAGGCCTTAGAAGGGTTCAACACTTGTAACAGCCTACGAACTTCCGTCTCCGTTACAATAAATCCAGACAGTCCTGAAGTCTCTGGGTACCAGCAAACAATCTCAAAGCCTGTAAAAGAGGTTTCCCTCACAAACGTTGCTGCATACTGATCACTAAGTACGCAGGCTTTGTGTTTATCCGTATGCGCATGAGTATCGTCATCACGCATCAATACTAGAACTGACAAGTTCGAACCGAAGCGCCTTTTCACATATGCGAAGAATCTTTTTGATTCTCTGAAGCTTCGTCTGCTAACCCTTTCTCAAAATTGGGCCGAGCATTCCTTAGGTGTTGCTTACACCTATTTCTACCTTTACGGTAAGTTTGAAGACTGCGCCTTTGGAATATTCTTCCAAGTATAATTTCAAGGCAAGAATGGCACAAGACAGCCTTTTCAAAACTTCAAACTGCGAATAAACGAAGATATCGGAACGGACATACCACAGGCGGATGAAATTAAAATTCAGATCTACAGTACAGTGAGGAATAATCCGTATCGGCATCACCAATGCAGTGACGAACGTGATCTTGATCGGGGTAAGTAAAAAGAAATGTAGTGACAGCTGCGACTACTACGAGACCGACTCACTACAAAATATACAAATAATGGAAGATATATTATTGTAGGAAGTTGCAGTTAGATTTAAATATCTTTCGTGTCACAATATCAAGGCACTTAAATATGAGGCACAAGCTAAAGAAAGCAGCTGTTTATACAAATTAGGAGCTTGCATTTATTATATACGAAATCGCATGTTGTTTCCACAATTTATACGTTAACATCAACAATAGTATAGGCAAGGAAGCAGCATCTGTTTAAAATTTAGCTGTCCCCTGAGATTACCATAAATTCGGCAAATATGGCAATGGAATGCTGCAACACAAGCTCGAGTAAGAGAAGAGTAGTAGGATAAATTCCCGAGTGTTTCTTCTTCCACGCATCCTTAATCTTGGGTATTATTCGTTCATGATTAATGCATTCTAAAAAAGAAGATCAACATATCCGATTCGTACCACGGTCAGTCAACTGTTACCCTGGTGACCTATGTTGGCAGCCCAAGCCCTGCAATATCTTTTATTGACGGCTTTCGAACATGTATCAAGTACAATTGCATGCAACCACCCTTCTATGCATGAAATATATTTGAATAGACCTAACTTGGTATTTTCAAATTGCAGGAACTTGTAATCGACTTAGGCAATATACCGTTCTCGCGTTTCCGATTAGTGCCGCTAACCCTGCATAAAATAATTGCTATTTAAATATAGCGCTATGAAACACTGAAATCAAATTAACACAATGATGGTAAATCTTTGGAACAAACATCGCATTTTCATATTAAGTTTCCACGTCTGGCTTAACACTTCCATTGATTTACTATATACTGTGTCGCACTATTTAGGCATATGCAGCAGTATCATTTTATTAAAAACTTCATTCCTTTTATCCTCCTAATTTTACATATAAAATTTACACAATATTTCACTTACTGTTTTTCGGTCTACTCTCTATATAAGCAGCGACTTCCACCTCCCTTACATAACCCTCTTGTTAACATCTGACTGATGTTGTGGCTCTGCCTCAGTATTACTTTTCTATTGCTACCGGGTTCTGTGATTTTTGCAGATAGTAGTGTAGGTTTGGATGACAGCTTTACAAAAGGTTATTCGGATAAGTCTGCTGCGTCGTCGAAACGAATGGTTTACTGGAAAAGGCCGTGGTTGCCAAGACTAGAGCACGCGTACGATGAAGATCCTATACTCAGCATTCCTGAGCAACAGAAGCGTATGGTCTATTGGAAGAGATCACATAAACCGCGAATTGGGCCCGTGCATTACAGACGCATTCCATACTGGAACCTGCCAACCGAGCAGAAAGCGACTGATATGTGGTACTAACAGAATTTCGAAGTACGTTTTCTTTGTTTAACTGATAGTTTTGACCTAATGATCTGTGTTTACATGATAAAAAGTAGGTTACTGAATACTCTATGTCAGACAGTTGTCAGCGCGTCTTGCGAGGCTGTAGTCCGCCAATTCATTCCATCGGGTGCGCATTCCTCTGCTTTCTATTAACTGTAGTGTTGCAACAGATAGTTAGTCTAAAGTATGATTTGGAAGTGCATGTCAAAAAGTCCACATTGAGTAAACACATTATACTTTTCTTCTGAATAATAGCAGTTATACATCCTGTTCATCTTATTGAGATTGCAATACTTTGTTTTAATGGACAGTTTACCCAGCTTCACAATTAACGTTTAAATGTTCCCTTCTGCCATATTTTCCAAGGATTAGGTGCTATAAATCATGCACAACTGCTAATTGGACCCCGTATAATCTTGCGTGCACATACCTCTTGTTATGTCAGCCTTACCAAAAACAAATTTTAACCAATTACTCCAAATCAAATGCGCCTTTTATGATCCCCAGACAACAGCTTTTACGTTTTGTACTACACTGTCGTCTTAACAACCGGCTTAAAAATATTTTATCATTTAAAACCTATACAACTTGATGTAATCAAAGTTAATTAAAATGACTTACATGGATTTTCACCCAATTCATAACTTTAGTCATAACCAGTTGAAAAACGGAAGCGAAAGAGTGGTTTTAGTAATGCATATTGAACACTGCATCCGATAATTTTAGTCTACTTGAGTCCTCATTCCAGGGGTTGTCTTCCTGCCATGTGATGGTTCTCGTTTTGCTTTGTAGCTGGCATCTGCGGCGCCACGCGCAAACAAGCGAAAACGATAATGTATCTAACTCAAACGAACACAGCCAACTTGTTACACGCAAAGTACCTAAATCATCTAGTCCATGTTGTTCCCATTTATGGCGTGTTCATAACAGTATGCAAAATCGTTATGCCGGAGCAACGAATCTAGATATAAACAAACCGTAATACCAACAAGCGCCAGCAGTTCTTCCGTCGCGAAATGACGCTAAGGTAGAGAGTAAGAAAGTCTATTCAATGGACCATTGCGAAGGCTGTATAGGCTAGCTTTATTATTAGACTAGTGCCCTAGGTATGGTATGAATCCTGTTACAATCGCCTCCATCGCAGGAAAAGGCAAAGAATGTGCACATGCGTGCCAAGAAATACAAACACTCGCGAACTGATGGATGATAGATGGTTATTATATATTCCTAGGGCACGGCGTTTTTTGGTACTACTAGAATTATATCTCAAACAAAAAGGTAGGCATCTGCTTGCTTGTAATGCGAACAATTTTGCTTAAAAACTAAAATTAAGCGAGATTTTGTACAAGGCTACAAATTACCCCTTTTCTATCCATATACTTCAGTTGATCAGCGGTCTGCTTATGCAATTTTAGTCCAGTCTACTTCCTTACTGGAACAGTTTTCCAGTCAGGATCTTGCGATAATCCGTTTCGAAGTGTCAGCTGAACTTCAGGATTTCTTGACATCTCTAGTCGAACACATTATTTGTCTCGTATAATATAATATAAGAACGTTTACGTGTACCAAAATCAGATATTATTATAAGGTAACCAGTTCCTTATTTCCTTGATATATATATATATATATATATATATATATTCGACATCCATCGCCGCTAAAGCCTTATTACAATCTGAGTGTCGATTTGCTTTGGGTGTTGGATATTATTACGACCAGAAATATATCTTCAAGTTATATTTGACACAATGCATGAACAATGTTTCCGATTGACAGACTCGTCTCAGATTTGCGCAATTTGAATGGATAAAACATAAAATTCAGCGAATCAGGGGGCTAGCTTTGTCACTACAACAGACCATTTTCAGTCACAGGAGTGACCTGGAAAACCGTCAGAAATTCCATAAAAGGTAAACCGCTGGCTGTTCCAAATGCCTAAATCCTGATAAAGCCAGGTAAATTTATCTACTTACGTCATTAGATTAAAACTAGTTTACCGTTAACCAATGGCAATTACTTATAAAAAGCTATTGCGCAAAGTGTGCTTTTTACCGAGGCACCTGAGTGAAATTCAGTTGTAACCTGGGTGCATTTATTGGTACTCGGCCCGCGATGTTTGCTTTTAAAAAGTCCGATATGCCATTGCACATGTTGTAATTAGTTTATTTTGCTCTCTGTGAATATCGATACCTACTTTGTTATGATCGTTTCTTCATACTTGATTCGGAAGCTAGAAGTTACTCATTTATTCCGCCCTTATAGGAGGCTCTGACTGTAAGATAATGCGATTTTTCTTCAGCACTTAGGTTGTGTCTCTCAGTATAAGGTAGACGAGCAGGCCACAACCTTGTTGAATAGAACTCACAATATATTAGCTTTAACCTGCCAGTTTATGCTCGGTAGTATTTTCGGCACTCAACCCATGAGTTTTAAGGCATGCGTCACAGTCCAGGGTAAGTGCTGCTGGCTCGCAGACATGATGGGAAATAGCAGAGGCTTTTCAATTTGCCGGCTCCCAGCAACCTCTCTTCACGCAGCCTCCACTTCTTGGTTGCATACGGGCAATGTTCGGACCTAAAACGTTACGCGATCTGAAACACTGTCAGGTTGGCTTATGTAGCTTTGAAAGTAAAGTGCAAATGATTGGTTGTTCGATCCAGGCCACAAACTTCATGACCTAAAACGTAATCTTAATAAGAGTGGCCGAAGGCAAGCCTTGCTGCAGCAAATGTCATACGTCGGATTGCATGGGCATAAACTCTGTTATTCCAACTTCAGTTTTGCACTCAGTATATGCTTTATAATGGGGAACTTGCTAAGATTGCTTTGCTGTTAGCGTAAAATAGTCAACGTTCATTTGTTTGAAGTTTTGAGCAAAATTTATAGAGACCCTTTTATGTCACTTCGTGCTACAGTGCCAGTAACATTGTGAAAGTCTGGTCATTCGTTTTAAGCGCCGACTGGACTCGAAATGGTACCACAGTTCACAAACACGGTAATAGTTTCAGCGCAAGGCTGTAGAGCAATCTTCCGGTGGGGTCAAGTAGATCCTGCGATCAGCCAGTCGCTTTTAAACTGCACGCTAAAAAGGAAATGATCATCCCGCATAATAAGAGTGACCAAAAATATCTGCTAAAGTGACCATTAGAGCGCTGGGGACGACCGCCTTTTGTGCCTGTAGCAGTCCAGATGGTCACAGTTGAGACAAAGCTCGGTCACTCAAAAAATGGTTTCCAGCGCATTATTAACAAATGTCATGAATCCTTTCTTCTGGTTCCAAATAACGTCAACAATAAGCGGAAATTTATTCCCAAATTGTAATTACGCCATACTACAGCCGTAATGCTAAACCAGAAAATGTTTGTGTAACCGATATTTTTCCTAAATATACTTAACTGAGAAGGCCATGGGCGTAAAATTCGATCGCTCAGACTTTTCCAACGGTCACCTGCGATGACTGGAATTATGATGTTATTAATAAGTAGATTTACGGGTCAAGTACGGCTGTGGCAAAAGTGCATCATAATATTAACATATCGAAACATATGACTCCATTTATTTTCATAATCTGATTTCACTTCCGCGAGTGACCAAATCACGTCCATTCTGGAAGGCTGGCCATTTATTGGTTTGGGCGGTAGAACAGGAATAATTTTCGCTGTATTGTTTTAACAAGAAACAATTGCATCTCTCCACATGCATTCATGCTAGGTCACAATAATATGGCACTAAACCAAGATCTTCCACAGAGTAAGTTTACAATCATCCGAGCTGGGTACAACTAGGTCGATTGCCGAGCTACTGTGTTATCGCAATATATCAGGTTTAAAAGAAGGTAACATAAGATCAGCGAGAACATTACCTAGGCTGATTTTTGGAGGGTTTAGCGTTTAGTGTTTGCCTTTCAGACACATAGATAGTAATAGACTTCCCAGAGTGGCAAACCAGATTAGCTGGAATATTTCAGGCCTTCTCCAGACGGCCATGTGAACGCTGGTCACTTAAATAAGCTATACTTCTGAACTCCATATCTCAAAGTGCACAAAGCAGTCTTACTGGCCGAAACATTGCGACTTTTGCTGGTTTTGGTCATTTTCAGTCGTCAGCGGCATTAAGCCGAAGCAATGTTCATGAAATCCAAGTATGCTACCTCGGAACAACACACTTGGACAGATCTTCATGATAGTTGACGATGGGGTGCACTACCCTGTGTTAAAATCTTGCTTTGGGGCAGACCGCTAGACAATTACTCGTAAGAAGGGAGTGTATTTGTGGCCGGTGATTAACTTTTTAAAAGTGAACAAGCCATTCGGCTTTATATACATAAGATAGAAAAGAGTTAAACCTTCACTGCTATTCGGCTGGAACAGGAACTCTGTTTACCGCCTCATGCCTGCTAGCTTCCTCTATCTCCCATGATTTGATACTTCGCTTAGTCATTGCTTGTGTTTTCTCCATTGGTGGTACTGCTCAACAGTACGGGGTTCACATATATTTAAACAGCAGATATACAATATGTAACAAAGAGGTAAATGTCATGATTCTAAAGTTTACTACGAGAATCAGAGAACGTTTCTTTCTAACCCAATACTCAAAGATTTGGAACAAACTTTCAATTGATATCAGGACATGCGATACACTTTGTAATTTTAAATTTTCGATTAGTAAGCATTTAACCGTCCAAAAGGAGACTAATATTTTCGGGACATCACAGTCCCTAGGTAACGCATTCGAAAACGGTATCCATGGTGCCGGAATAAATTTTCGAAAGACATACACATGACATTGCAGACAACAGCCCCTTAGATTGCATCTTTTTCTCGGCCTAAATATCTGTCATATGATTGTGAAGCATATTGATTCAATGGCAGGACGAAAATAGCAGAACGATTCTGATTACTCTGTGATACCTAATTTGCAATTGCGCCCATGTTTATCTCTGAAAATGTATTAAAGCAATGTCATGGAAATGTTGCTCCATTATTTGT